TGGCAGACCTCAAACAGAAACTGCAGGGGCATTTTGCACCACAACCCTTGCAGATCGCTAGCAGGCACGCGTTTTACAAGCGGTCCCAGGCCGCGACCGAGACAATTGCTGAGTACGTATCGGCAATGTGGAAGGCTGCACGCCCGGGCAACTTCACCAACCTAGAGGAAGCGCTCCTCGACCGACTCGTCTGTGGCATGAGGGACGAGAAGCTACAGCAACGATAGTTCGCACGAACGGCTCTCACCTATGCCGTGGCCTACTCTGAGGCTGTCGCTGCTGAGGCCGCTGAGAAAGCAACCCAAGAAGTGCGTCAAAACCTGGTTCCAATCCAACAGGGGGCCAACAAAGCCGTATAGCCACGAATCAACGAGCGAGTCCAATGGTGAGCATGATGGCGTCAACCAGTCTCGTACTCTGAGGCCCAAGCGGACCCAAGTGAAAACTGCGCCGCGGCGAACCTGTGCCGGATGCGGCGGTGATCACAAGCGGGATCAATGCTGGGCGAAGGACATCGTTTGCCGGTCCTGTGACAAGCAAGGCCGTTTGGCCAGAGTCTGCAGGGCCAAGAGGAAGAAGACACCACCGTCGTCTCCTTGTGAAAGGCCCTGGGTTCGAGACAAGGACAACGCGAGGTCTACAGATTGTCATCTGACCAACTGCTGTTCCTGCCCTTCGACCATCCTGAGAACCAGATCGCGAGCAAAGAAGAAGATCCACATCACTGTCTTGCTGAATGGCGTACCGTGCGAGATGGAGGTCGACTCGGGATCGTCAGTGACCGTCATTTTATCTGAAATGTTTGTTTCCGCGATGGAGCCATTGGCATTTGCAGCCGAGCACCATACACCTTTCCGACTTTCAGGGAAGGTGCATCCCTGTGGCCGGCGAAGCCACATTTGAGGTACAATTCAAAGGGTATTAACCAAGTCAATGCAAATAAATTGAATTCACTGTATGTGGAATTTGCAGATGTGTTTGATGGTACTCTGGGAATGTATAGGGGCCCAACTGTAACGTTTGACCTAGATCCGTCTGTAGCGCCTATACGGCTTAAATATCGCAAGGTACCGATTTCTCTAAAACCCCATATAGAGGCCGAGCTGGACAAGCTCGTGTCTCAAGGTGTGCTTGAACCAGTGTCACACTCGAAATGGGAGACCCCTATTGTGACACCTGTAAAGCCTGACGGGTCTATCCGAATATGTGCAGATTACAAATGCACACTCAACAAGGCTCTGCAGCAGCACTCTTACCCAGTCCCCGTAATTAGTCACGTGCTGGCATCATTAGGGGAGGGTAAAGTCTTCACCAAACTAGATCTGGCGCAGGCCTATCAACAGCTGCCAGTAGACCCCCAGGCTGCCATGGTGCAAACCACTGTCATGCACAGGGGTGCGTTCAAAGTGAATCATTTACAGTTTGGCGTGAACATGGCCCCAGGCATATTCCAGGGCTTAATGGAGGGATTGTTAAGGGACCTGCCCGGGGTGGTCCCCTATTTCGACGACGTGTTGATTGCCGGCCGGTCTGAGGACGAACTGGCAGAACCCCTCAGGTCCGTTTTACGTCAGTTCTAAGAGGCTGGGTTGAAAGTAAAGAGGGCTAAGTGTCATTTAGGAGTACCCAGTGTGGAGTTCTTGGGGTTTCGAATCGACGCTAATGGTGTTTACCCGACTGAGGGAAAGGTACGAGCCATCCAAAACGCCCCGAAGCCTAGTTCTAAGAAGGAATTGCAAATCACTGCCAATATAAGAAAGAGGATGTGTTACGAGTAGGTCAAAAAGTCCCAGACCAAACAGATATCTGGCCTTAAGGATAAGGTTGTTTATGAAGAAGATATATTTGGGCTCTGGAAAGTCCCACTTAAGTATATTTGGGGACTGGAAAGTCCCAAATTGCTGAGCTAAAGGATAAAAAGTGCTTATAAGGAGAAACTATATGTATGTCTACTTGGCAAAGATATCTGTTAATAGTATTAGGATATGCAAGTGTCATTCCCTTCTGCCATGAAAGAGTTAACCTGTTTGTTTGTGTATCCTAATGCTAGTTACTTAGCTTTGATCCAATTAGATGTTAGGCATGTATTTCCCACCAGAGAAAGGGAGGGTAGCTCAGAGGTTAAGACGCTGAGCTGCAGACCGGAAGGTCTGTAGATAGGAGTTTGAGACCCTAGTGCCATGTGACGGAGTGAGCTCCCGTCTCTGGCCCCAGCTCCTGCCAACCTAGCAGTTCGAGAGCAAGAAATTGCAAGTGGATGCATAGGTACTGCTTTGGTGGAAAGGTAACAGTGTTCTGTGCGCCTCAGCATTTAGTCATGCTGGTCATATGACCATGGCAGTGTCTTCGGACAGCGCTGGCTCTTTGGCTTGGAAACGGAGATGAGCACCACCCCCTAGAGTTGGATACAACTAGCTTTCGAGCAAGAGAAGCCTTTACCTTTACCTTAAGATCAGCTATTGGCTAATTGATATATTGGATAAGAGTACATGTTGTTTGTCTTATACACTGGGGGGGCTTTGGGGGAAGCTCTCCTTTGTTCTCATCTCTCTCCCTCTCACTTTTCTGTCTTTCACAAACTCTTGAGAAAGAACTAACAGCTAGACAAGATGGAGTTTAGATAGTTAGGATGTTATTATTTTCACTCCATGTAACCCTTCCCTAATTCTAGTAAACATTTCTTAAATCTAATTACACTTGTGTGCTAGACTGTGTTTTACTATGCTAAGTATGCAACAAATAGGCATAAAGGAAACCAAAGACTTATGTCACAACAGGCATCTGTGCATGTCTAGAAGTTGTTTACTTCAATGTATAAAATTGTATAAATGTATAAGGTGTATAAAATGTGAATGCAAGAGCAAGTATATGGAAACTCTTGGCCATTCTTTGCCAGGACCCACTTTATTGCAGTGAAGTTCTGTCTGCTTCTGGAATCTCCCTCTTGTGTCCTTTTTTTCTTTTTTAGAATTTTTAAATTGCTTTTCACTATAAACTACAAAAACTACACACTACAAATTCAGAGTTACAAGGTACAGTAATGATCTATTTTAAGCTTTGGGTATTTCTCTATATAATCAAATTTACAATAAACCATTTACTTACTAAGTAATAAGTATTCAAGTAGAAAGAACAAAAAAATCTTAATTTTAGTATCGCATATGAGCAACATTATAAATTCTTTAAGTTCTGACACAGAGAAATCTTAGAACCTCATTTAGATGTCTTCTTGTCTTTACGCTTCTTCTTCTTCTGCCAGGGGACTTTAACCTTATAAGATCTGGGTGCAGCAGCTCCCAAATCAGAATCAAAGTCAGAGTCAAAGATTTTACCCAGGGACACCGAAGTAGATGAAGAGCAGGCAGTAGCTGTCGCCTGATGGTCGCTATTTTCTTCTGTCGCCTTCTTTTCTTTTTGTCAGAATTTGGTGCTGCTTCAGGAATGCTTCTGCTTTAGAGAGAGAGTCAATCTTTTCCTTCTTCTCTTTGTAGTTGAATATAAGACTTCTGGTAAAATCCATTGGTATTGGACATTGTTCTTTTGAAGGAATGCTGTAATGTTTCTGTATTGCTTCCTCTTCTTACATATTTCCTATGGTACATCTTTCAGTACTTTTATCTCTTCCTCTTGGATTTTTAATGTTGTGGCAGTAGATGCTTTAAGTATCAAGTCTCTTGTTAATCTTTTTGCAAATTTAACAATTCCCCGCTGCAATCCGCTTTGATTGGGTGGGTTTCTTTTTTCTTTTTAAAATTTTTTATTTTTTCCAAAACTACAAATAAGAAAAGGGATGGGAAAACTACAAACTATAGGAGAAAGTATAACAAATGACTAGGAGCCCTTTGCAAGGGCCCACGGGGCGCGTACAATTGCGCCCCATCTCAGTCCACTGGTTCACGGATCATGTCCTCGGAGCACCCGAGAGACACATCCGCCATCATTTTGCCAAAACCAGAAGTCGATTGGGTGGGTTTCTAACAGCGTGTTGTAGGCTTGCTTCCCGTTTCGCTGCTTTTTGTGCTATAGGGTAGGGTTCTTGCTCCCAAGAGTTCCCCCCTTTCTCTATGGTGCTTTGCCATCTCGCTGTCAGGTCCTCCACTCTATTTACTTTTGTCTTTCTTTTGAATCTCATTAACTCACTGTTTTTTCCCCCACTGGATATCATCCCATAAGGAGAGTCCTTTGCTTAATTCCTTGCGCGCTCTGGTCCGGTAACGTCTCTGGGCATCATTGCTGGCTTTGGGTTAGCGGGACCTTAAGGAGCAAAAAAGAGCCTTGATCCTTCAGCTGTGACTTCGGGAGCGGTTCCTCCAGTGCTCCAGGCTAGAGCTTCGTGGGTGTGTGTGTGTGTCATTTACTTCTGAACCCCCTCTCTGCCGCCTCGATCCAAATGCACCCATCGGAGCTCTATGGCGTGCGTTCGTTCGCAAGTCGCCGAAAACCAGAAGTCCCCTCTTGTGTCCTTCACTGAGTGTTGGCACCAATGTTCCCTCTAAGCCGTGGAGTTTTGTGAGCAAAAATTCTACTTTGTGAGCTCCTGGCATTAAAGTTGTGAGCGAGTGATTTGGCGACTGCATCAATAAGTTTGCTCCGGAGCTCTCCTTCCTGAGCTAAGACAAAAATCTGTGATCTGAAGGCTCAAAAACTGTGAGCTAGCTCACACCAACTCAGCTTAGAGGGAACACTGGTTGGCACACGAGGCAATTGGCCCATTTGGGCAACATTATTACCAAAATGTGAGCATTGACCTACTGCCCACAGTCACCTAATGGAAAATTCATTTAGAGATAAACTCAAACAACAAATACGAAATTCAGATTTTGAAATCTATAGATTACCAGATAACCAGTAGGAAATATAATTTCAGAATATGACAGTGAACATTTCATGTATTTATTTTTGTGTCAGCTGTAGCTTTACACTCAGAGTCTATGACTCCTTGACAAAACTATCCTAAAATGTGTCTGCTGAACTAGTGGTAGACAAGTATGTTTCATTACCTTGGCTTCCCCCAAGAGTTGCTAGTCGAAAAACTTCCTTCAGAGTTAAGCCTTCTTCATTCTCTTTATTAATTTTCAAGGTATTTGATACAATAAGTGCCTTTCTGATAGCATCAAACATGGAAGCTGAATAGCCGCCAGCAACATCTGTAAGAAAACAGAAGAATCAGCATGTGGGAATATGCACAGTATAAAACCATACATTTTATTAACTGTGTGGTTTAGGAGTCAGAGGCTCAAGTTTTGTTGTTGCTATTTTTGCATTTGTGTGCTTGGAAGTCATGGTGACCTCTGGTGACTCCTACTGGGGCACAGAGGACATTCAGAGAAGTGGCTTGATAACCTGCCTCTGGCCTCCTGGCCTTGGTATTCCTTGGAGGTCTCCCATCCAAATACTTGCCAGGGTCGACCCTGCTTATCTTCCAAGGTCTGATGAGATCGAGCTTACCTGGGCTATCCAGGTCAGGGCAGAGGCTCATTATTATGACACATATATGTCCATTGGGAAGTTTCCACTGGGGGAACCACTTCTGCAACTGCCAGGAAACCTGTTGGGGTTTCCCCAGTGCTTTATAGAGTGTGAGTCCTCCTAAATATCAGCTATACTGTAAGACACCCACACACATCTGAAAGCGCTCAGAACAAATCATAAACTCATGCCCATCTTCTAGCTCTGCATTGGTCAGTCTTTGGCAAGGGAGGGCAATCATTCATTCTAAATGCCTGTAGGCTGGCAAGCCAGGCATACAACAAGGAAAGTCATACTTGCCATTGAGGATCTATCTAGGGCTGCCAAATCCCACCGGGGGGCGGAAATCCCCCTGCCCCAGAGGCCCGTTCCCAGACGCCAGGGAATCGGGCCCCGGGGGGAACCCTGCCCCAGCGTGCACGTCACAGGAAAGTGACGTTATGACGCCGGGCATGCTGGGGGCGGGGCCACGGCCATACAAGGGAAAACTCTATGGTTGTCCCTTGTATGGTCGTGGCCCCGCCCCCAGTGTGCCGGGCATCATGACGTCACTTCCATGTGACGTGCATTCGGCGTGTGCACTCTGGGAGCCGCGCAGGAGTCCCCCGCCAGAGAGGTGAGTACCATTTGGCAACCCTAGATCTATCGCAGCCTAGCAGGCCATGAGAGGCCCTTCCATTATTCCAGCTAATTAGGGGAGTAAGCAGGTCCTATGGCAAGCTTTTCTATCCCACTCTAGTAATCAGCAACCTTAAGCTGCACTGAACTCCATTCCATTCCTGTGTGGTTATTTATTAAAAAATATTTATACCCCACCTTTGTCCTAATATTCAAGGCACCCCAGATTCATGGATTTCATCCACTGCAACATTTCTGCTTGTCTCAGAGCTCTTGCACAAGCAGAAGCACAAGAAAATGGCTGTCCAACTAATTATTTCCCCACTTGTGCTTCTGCTTTTGCAAGACATTATGCAACCAATTTCTGGTGTCTATAATACATAGATAACTGAAGTGCTAGGTGTGTTGCACAAGCTTTTGCACCAGCAGAACTGCACTACGTTTCTGCTTGCACATTGCTGGATCCAGGCTAATACACTGAAGGAAAGACATTACAAAATGCATGTAATACAAAACAGAAGACCTCTTCAATTGTTTGGGCAAGGTGGTCCATAAAACTGGGTTAACAACTGAAAGTGCTTGAGCTTGAGCAGGAGTGGAGAAAGAATTTCTATGGGAAGAGAGCAGGGAAACTATCAGTTAGATGAGGCTAACTGGTGCATTGATTCACATCAGGAGATAAGATCTTTCAGATACGTGGGCCACAAGCCATGAAAAGTAACTACCAGCATCTTGAATGTAATGCAGATATGTTAAAATAAGCAATTGTAAATTACTAACCTGTGCCAAGGCCAAGCTTCACATTGTACTTCAGAACTCTGTTTACATTCAAAAAGCCACTACACAATCTAGATACCGGGAAGGAGAAAAGAGAAAGAAGCTATCTTTAAAATTAAGAAGAATTAAAGAAGACTATATTGAGATTGATGCATGGCTGTGAAATTTCCAATATTAAAAGACTTTCAAGAGTCAAAGTCTATAAACTGAGAAGAAAGGGCTTGTATACATTAATTTCCATTACAAATATTGGGCATTAAAAGGACTTTTAGCTGGAGGCTAAAAAACTGTGAGCTAGCTCTCACTAACTCAGCTTAGAGAGAACACTGATCATGATCATGCCACATCACAGGATAAATGTTTATGCATGCTTTAGCTTAGAGAGGAAGAACTCAACATAGGCATGTCAATTTTGGCAGCATTTCCACAGTCTGAACCTGCCACATGGTCTCACTATCAGAGAGGACTGAAACAGCATGCATGCACAACAGAACAAACCTTTATTGGCATAACAACAGCATCAGCCTTAGGTACAGAGGCGGTAGGCACGCAAAACAGTTAATTCACTACCCCTTCTGCCAAAAAAGAACTTCTCCTCCTATACGCTCTGTAAAGGAAGTTTGCCACCTCTTTGATGGTATCAGCCCTGTTTGAGGCTAGAAGGTTCATTATCTTACTTTCCTCAGATTTGCCCTCCAGGGTTTGCAGTATAGGGCCGAGGTGATAAGCGCGCAATCCTGGTAAAATCTACAAGTCAGAAGTACATGGTCCATTCCTTCAATCTCCTTTAGCCCACAGGGACATAACCTATCTGGGAATGGTATTTTTAAAAATCTCCCATATAACACAGCTGAGGGGAGCACGTTAAAACGGCCCAGCGTGAATACCCTTCTAATATAGGGAACAATCAGACAGGAAAAATACTCTGGCAGTAGCCCATTAAGAGAAATCCCCCAATGAATGGGAGAGCAATGCCCAGTAGCAAGACTTCTAAGTTCTTGCCTTTCTATATCGATCAATCTCTGTTTAATCACGCCAAAAGTGTACTTCTCCAAAAGAAGGATCAAATCATCCATGCTGAGCCCCATCAGTGTAATTTTCCCTTCAACACATGTCAACCAATCTGATAGGTGAGATCTGCATAGCTTATAAGCAATGAGACTGTTAGACTCACTTCTATAGAGGAGGCGCAGCCAAAAGTTAAGAGCCATGCTTTAGTTACTAAGTGTCTCTGGTTTGTCTCAAGGCATATTGCCGCATAAGATACGCAAGTTGGGAGCCCTAGAATTTTTCTAAGAAATTTGGATTGAACACTTTCAACCATTTTATTAAAAGCAGAGATCCAAACTGGGGTAACATAGAGTAGTTTAGCACATATTTTGTGATTAAACACCTTGAGAGCAGCAGGAACGACTTGATTTCCTTTTGTATAATAAAAGCAGGAAATTGCAAGTTCACTGCTATTCACTGATTTTACAACCTTCTTAGTGTGGGAGACCCAGTTAGCATTGTAATGGAAGTGTATACCAAGGTATCTGAAACTCTTCCCCTGTTCGATAGGATTTCCTTGAACAGTCCATTTAGAGGGTTTCCAACTCTGACCGAAAACAATAATTTTTGACTTATCAAAATTGAGGGACAGCAGGTTCTTATCACAATATACTGAAAAGTGCATTAGCATCCTTTTCATCCCAACCTTTGAAAGTGACAGGACAGCGTAATCGGCATATAACAATAACAGGCAGTGTCTTACTCCTAGCTTGGGGAAATGACCACTCATAAAGGGTGCCAGATCATTCAAAAAGAGATTGAACAATATCGGGGCCAGGATACAACCTTGCTTGATGCCCACTGAAACAGCAATTTGTGGCGTTAGGTCGCCTTCTTTTGAGTATCTCACCTGGCAAATAGTTTCTGAGTAGAGGTTTTTTACCAAAAAAACAAACAGCATGCATGCCTCCAAGGTTATGAGGAATTTCTTCCATTTTTAAAAAAGAAATCACAGCTTGGCATAATAATGCTGTTTTGAAAGCCTTGGACTGGATCAAACACAAAATGTCCATGAACTGAGTCCTGTTAGCAGAGTGAGATTGTCTGCCTTTCCCCATTCTTCTGCAGCTCAGGACCACCATGAGGGTGCATTCAGAGGTGTGCTGTGGGGGGGGGGGATTTGGCAAAAATTGCCCACTTTGGTCAAAAGAAATTTCCATGGGATCCAACCCTTAGTCTCACCTTCATACCCAGCAATGTCCCCAGTTCAATGTTTTCAGCAACCATGCCGACTAACATGCTGGAGTCCAGTTGGCATCATAAGAAGCTGCACTTACCCTATAACTGCAGCTTTCCCCATCACTTTGTTTGCAAGCTAGAAGAAGTTTCACCTGCTTAATCTGTAGGGCAAGCCTATGCAAAGTTAATCCGGTCTAAACCCACTGAAATCAACAGCTTTAGATGAGATAAGTGGAGACCCGCAAGAAACTTGCGGAATGGTTATCCTATTCCTCACACCTTTGCTTCCTCCTGTCTCCCTCTACCTCTCTCACACTCTTTTTCCCTTCTGCCCCCCCTTTCTTTTTCTCCTCCAGCTATGGCATTATACTGATCTGTAGTTCCTTCCCTCCTCAA